ATCTATCTATCTATCCAATACATCTATCCATCTCTCTCTCTCTCTCTATCTATCATCCATCTGTCATCCATCCATCAATCTATGTATCTATCATCTATATTATGACTAAAGTATTATTTTCAGTATCACCTCATTTCAAACACAATACAAACACATCATAACGTGTATCTGTTGTTATGATTCTTGTTATTTATTATTTTCATCACGAAACTAAACTAAAACTAAAAAACAGTTTTAATGCAGCTTCTACTGTAGCACTATGCTGACATCTGCTGGTCACAATGAGAAACTACCTCACTGGAGAAGTCAAAGTTATTTAATGCAAATGTTTGTTTTAAATTCACATCATTGACTTCGATGAGAATAAAAACACGACGTTGCGTCAACACCCAACAACAAAATGAACGCACACCGAGACGTACTCAAAAAACACGGGTTTATTGAACTCAGACCGTGAGTCTGAGGTCCCACACAGGATGAAGCACCACTCAGTGCCTGTACAGTGAAACATGCTGAAAGACACAAATCATGACTAATGCTTTAAATCCCTACTGTTAGTCGCTCCAACCACGTACAGAGGAAAAAGAATTACCTGAATATTCTCATTAATGATAGTTAGTGCAGCACGGCTTCCCAAGTTACAGCAGAAACGACAACTTCATCGAGTTAGTCCAAACAGACGATGTGGATTAATGGCCCTTTACAAAGAAAACCTTAGAAAAATAAAATCAAAATTAGAGTGATCCTATGTGACGTCGCCACACAACACTAGAACACATGTTAAAAAATGGCACATTTGTTTAAACAAAATCAAATCAGACTAAGACAACGGTCTGTTGTTGGACATTTATTTACAGAAGTCGTGGCCTCGAGGTCGTCTCATCTCCAGAGAAACAGAAAGCTTCATGTGTGAATGTCAATAAATTACGACAGTTCCTCCTCCTGTGTGTTGTCAGTGCTTCACATATCATCAAGCATGAAGCCAAACATGTTTTTTTATTTTCCCCTGGAGTGACACCAACTTGTTTTTCCAAAGGTCTGAAGGAAAATAAATTCAGGCAAGAGGAGAAAAATCAAACTGTGTTTTTCTTTAAAATGTCAGGGAAAAGTTTTACAAATCTTCAAAAATTAAATGATTACTTCTGCCTAGTATGTTTTCACCTGTCTGCATTTTTATATTATCAATTTCGCTATTAATTCCAAAATGATTCTGCGTTTAAACAGTTTTAAACGTTTAAACAACTTTTTTTTTTCTTTCCAACGAGGAGGTTATCGTGTGTCTGCGTTAGTTTGTGTGGTTCTGAACAATATTACACAAAAAGTACTGAATGGATTTCAAAGAATCTTGGTGGAAGGATGCAGTTTGTGTGTGAGGGATTAAATTCTGATCCACATCAGGGAGCAGATCCAGAATCATTTGATCACCTTCTTTAACATTGTTCTTTAACATCGCTTTTCACAGGGAATCATTTATGGATGTGGATGAAAAAAAAAAAAATCAGGCACATTAAGGAAACCGATATCTACGAGTGTGTGAAATTAGGTGAAGCTTGACTTGACTGTTGGGTGGAGATTTAATCATCTGCATATTTAAACCCGACGGACTGAGGACTCACCTTCCCCTCCCCCGTGCCTGACAACAAGGCTGATTTCTACAGTTCGTATTTGAAAAGGTGTCAGGTAGCCACGGAGCACAAACAGATCAAGAGCAGGTAAAGTTCGACTTGGGGCAGAAAAAATGAGATGAATCGCTGACGAGCGTACGACACACGGAGAACAGCACAGATATGGTTGTGATATTGTCCTGAGACAGACGAGGCGCTGTTCTCTGTGGTGCTGGGAATAGATGCACGACACGCTGCTCTCCTGTCGAGTGTGTGTTGGCGTCTTCCTCCAGGGGCAGTTTAAGAAGTCTATGCCTGGAAGTCGTTTCCAAAGTGTCTACTCTGCTCCTCGGTCATGGACAGGTAGGTGGCCCTCATACTGGGGGAGTACTGTGGAAGACACACAGAGACACGGCACAGGGGAGACGTTACAGGTCGATGCTGTGATTTTACATCAGCTAAAAATAAAGACGATGTCATGAGGGGCTTAAAGGAAAAGTGCACGGAAAATCTGCCTCTTGACGATCTGTATAAATCTTATATTCATATTTTTTTCTACAATAAGAACTAGTGAAACGTGTGCAGGACTGTGTTGGAAGTATAGGTCTAGTTGTTATGGCTGTTAATCCAAGTTAATTAAATCTAAATAATCTAAATTAAAGACCCTTGACCCTTTCCTTTACTCCTTCCTTTAGGAACTCACTCAGTGCACTGATACAAAATAAAAGTTCTTCTGCCCTAAATGTACAATTAACAGTACTTGTGACACTTTTCTAAATCTATTGATAAATTCTAAATCACTACAAAACGCATGGTGCTAACACCTCGCGGCAGTACAAGCTATAGAACTGAATGACTGGAGCAGGACTGCATGCACAGTAGGGGGCGACTGTGAGGGAATCCAGGGATACGACTACAGTCCCACCCTGTGAAGACCGGGGGCAGACGTCCCACACTAACTCAGAAAAACACCGGCTGGGATGAGGACAACAGGTTGTGAGTTTGAAGCCATGCCAAACAGGAAGAACCGCACAGGAACCAACAGAGTGATGAGAGGTGGAGGAGAGGTGAACGATGCAACAGAGGAGAAGAGGAGGGGGAGTCAATCCTGAGGAAGAGTTTAAAAGACTTACTCTGTTTCTATACTGCTGAGAGTATATCTCCAAAAAGTTGATTAAAAAAAAAGAGGAAATACAGAAATGAAAGATACGAACAAACACAAACAAACAAATAAACACAAACAGACACACACAAAAAAAATATATAAAAGAAGCTGTTAGCCGAAGACGACTGCATGACGCTGCACAGTTACAGTCATGAGGGAGAATTTCATTGAACATCACAAGAAAGACGTCATAAGGCAAAGAACATCACATTTTCAAGTGCAGTCCAGTTAAAGAGGTGAAGGCTGACGACTGACATAAACCCAAGAATTGATCAAGGGATCTAAGATTTCTTCTTTTTCATCAACAACAAATAAGATACTGAATATTGTGCCATTTTTTTCCTTTTGGAAAAACTGAAGGTCAGATAAATGTGTCTCCGCTGTTTCCTTCAATTAAAAAACTGCTTGTGATCGAATACCTGCAGAATCATTTACACTTCTGTGTTTTGACCCGAGTGGCCCAGCAGGGGACACATCTATAAAAACCTTTATGGGTTGAGGCTTGTGTCGCCTCCTCCTGGGGATTTGGCCTGAGAGGAGATAAATGATGTTTCGCCTCATGATTAAATATTGACTGCGTTACTTCTCCTCTCGTTGTTTTGAGCCTTCTGTGAGTTCTGGTGGAAAAAGGCACGGTGGAGGCGTGTCTCATCCAATCGTTATTAAAATGTGCATTAATGTGGAATTTGGAGGAGGAGGTTCCCTGAGTCGACTGAGAGATACTTTAAAATTATGAATGAGATTATAGGCAGTTGGTTTTGAAAACAACTTCCTGTGACATCATAGCGAGGACTTGGCCTCTGGGACCCAACGCACCGAAGGGGGCGGAGATCCGCGTCCTATCAGCGGCACGTTCTCGTAGCGAGGATTTCCCCCGAACAGAGCCGTCTGGTTCCTGAGGGAAAGTGAGACAAGTGACTCAGAAGCTGAAGGAGCTTCGTCGTTTAGGCTCCAAACGTTACGTCCGTTCACTCACATGTACTCGGACATGGGGGCGTTGGACACGGCGGGGGCGGGCGGGTGCAGGCTGCTCTGGCTGCCCATGCTGCTGCTGTAGCTGCAGAAGCTGTGCATGTTGGGAAGGTTGGGGTTCTGGGAGACTATCCTCCTCGCCCGTGGGTTGAACGGGTCCTCCTCGTCAATGTCGTCATAGTCTTGTTCCCTAATGAGAAACATCAGGAGAGAGTTGGTTTGGTCCTGAGGATTTAAAACTGTTTCTGCGTCACAACCATGAGTGTAAATAAAGATGGACGACATGACGGCTCCCCAAATATAAACCCTGCCTCCTCCATGTTAGTGGACCAGACATAACAGTGATTTGTGTCCACGTTCAATTTTTATTTCTTTGTTGAATTTCACACTATAGCTGCTTTGCTGTATAAATATTGAGTTGTTCTGAAAAGATTACAGCATTCAACATGAGCTTACGGTGCTTTAAATGGACGAGCACTGAGGATACATTAAAGCCTCCAGATTCTTTGAGTCCATGACCTTGCAAAGGAGAATTTGCAATTGGGGCAAAACATCTGGTCTCTTGTACAATCGTAAAAAAAAAAGAAGTATTCAGGCACATGCATGAGTTGGCTCAGTGGATACAGGATGGGGAAATGAGGGCGCTCAGGCAGGCAGACGAGCGGAGAACAAACTGACCTGCAGGCTATTTGTCTCCACGCCCTAGGAATGGCACACAGCATGACAGTGAAGGCGCAGGCTGCAAGGATGGAGAAGAGGCAGAGGTAGAGCACGCCCTCCACGCCGTCGTAACACACCCCCACCATCGCATCCAGGTAGTCCTGAAGAGGTCGAACAGAACATCAACACCACGCGAATAGCAAATGCCCACTTTGACTCTAACTGCCTTGTTTGAATTCGCCGCAGACAGAATGAGTCAGAGATGAAAGAGCGTCGTTGTGTGCCGCCTCCAGGAAGCCACATACTTCCATTCATGTCGTGCACATTATTCATGTTAACTGAACTGCATACACAAGTAACAGTGTACGAGTCAGACAGAGCAGGAAACTCACAAACAGTGTGAGGAAAACAAAACAGAGGGAAGTTAAGATTCTCTCTGTCGTGTCGTGTCGTGCTCGGCTCTGATCCTAGTCCCACTTTCACTTTCATGCAGAAGCCCCGTGTTATTTACTCTCCTGCTGACCTCGTTGTGCTGGAGACGGCGTACGAACCTTGTTGAGCCCCCTGCAGTCCAGCAGGGCGGTCAGCTGGTGCAGACTGGCCTCAGAGGAGTTCAGCAAATTCTGGATGCCCAGCAGGTCTCTCTGCGGCAGACGACCAAAAATCCCAAACACGTTTAAGAACATTATTCTCATCCTGCTTTTAAAATAATTAGACTCAATTATACTGAGCAGGAGCTGGAAGTTGGTATAAATGGGGGGGTGGGGGGGGGTGTACCTCAGCTGTAGGGAACAGAGGAACAGCAAACTGCAGCAGACTCTGGATCTGGATCTGCATGGTGGTCAGGGACCTCTGGAAGATGGTCAGGGGCTGAAACACAAGAAACACAAGAACATGAAGATCACACGAATTGAGAGAAATGTGGAAGAGACTACACAGAACGGAGAGAAAGAAAAGACCAACAACAACCAAAACACAGTTTTGTCCAAATTCTGTTGTTGGACATTCCTGTGGCATAATATTATTTTTACTGTAAGACACGAAATCTGTTCTTTAGCTCAGTTTTGGTGAAATAGTCAACATTCTGTAGTTTGAGTCAGCCATTGCATTCTTGTAGGTTTACCTTCTCACCACCAGGGGGCAAAGTAAGCCTCCACATTCACCACAATTATAAAGCATCATCACATCACAACCTGAAAATCAGCACCTTCTGCCTTTTTTTAAATTAACATTCAAGCGGGACCTTAAAGGAATTAAGAGTCTTCGCGGTTGCACAACCTAACGAGGAGCAGGATCTCCTGTGGCACGGAGCTCAACTGAAACAGGATACGGTCAATTACCTCAACTATCCAGAAATGTAATTGGTTTCCTCTGATTTGAATTTTTTCCTCCAGATCTGGAAGACTGACCATCGTCAAACTGATGCACAATCTAATAGCCTGAGCAGATGTGAGCCAGATAAAATAAAAAGAGGATAGAGAAAGAGGCCGATGACGACAATAAGAGCAGGAAAAGAGCTGAAGCGGGAGTCATGTCTGGAGCAGTTTGGTATCACTTTGGCAGGTTTTGGCCGCAGAACGAAGAAACACAGGCGCAGAGGAAGAGAGGGAGAGTATTTTTAACTTCCACGAGGGTTTTTGAGGTGAGTTCAGGATATAAACAGACAGACCGCACTGACCAGAGAGTACGAGCTTGACAAAGATGAGACATGAGCAGCAGAGACATGAACTCACCCTCCAGCTCCGGTTCAGGGAATTACAGGTCAAAAGATGTCGAGATATTTAAGTTCAAGCGGCTTCAAAGTGAGCAACAAAAGATTAACTCAACCCTCAACTACCTCGATATAACTTTATAATAACACTTCGTTAGCAGCTGCTTTGAATTTGATTAGACTTTTAAACAAATAGCAGTAAATCACAATAATAAATGCTTGTAAAGTTTAACACTTGTCATTTCTCACCTGCTGGAAAGGGTTGGAGAGCGTCTGGTTGCAGTAAAGGTAGTAATGAACAATATCTGTGGAACAAACACAAGAACGAGGACGATGATTAAATACATTTTCAATCCCAATTTTATTTTTCAGTCACTGATGCACCTCATATTATTCACACTCACCAGCAGTGACGATGCTCTTTGTCTGGCTCATGACGTACCTGTCGGGGGACACGCAGAAATCACTCGTGCCCTGAAATAAAACAGGAGCCGTGTGAGAGCAGAGAACAGACAAAGACTCGGAGACATTAATTTTTCATTTACACCTCTGACGAAGCTGCGTAACAATGGTGACAATCAACTCCATCACTTTTTTTGACACAAAAAGGGAAGTAAAGAGGACAGGCTTTCTCTTTTAATCCGCACATGGAGACAGGAACCTGTTTCTGTTCTGTCCCTCACCACCACTTTTACTCCTGCGCTCAGCGCTAACAAGAAAGTGTGCAGCCTGAATGCTAAATGTCCCCTGGGCTCAGGACAAACACACTGCGTGTAGCTGAACCTTCTCTGGGGGGGTGACGCTAATGAGCCCCACACAGAGATGAGAAAAGAAAAAAAAACGCCAGCCCGAGTTTCTCAGCAGACGGAAGACAGTTTGTTAGAAACGAGGAAAACCAAGGAGCGTAAATAGAAGAGCAGGTTTGTTATTGAAGAGGAAACTGTGATTCTCAGAGAACGGAGAGTTCCCACTGTCGGTAATTTACGAGTTCTGTGAGGAGGGGCCTTCATCGTCAGTCACTGATGCACATATTTAACTGTAGCCGACATATGAGGATTCCTATCTAACAACAACATGAAATGGAATTTTTGTTCATGAGACAATTAACATCGGCAGAAATCTGCTCTTTATTATTATTGTTATTCTCCAGCCAGAAACGACTTGTAGAAAAAAATGGCCAGTGGACGTCAAACACGATGTGAGAGACAGGTTGAATTAAATGTCACGCTTGTATTTATTAAGTGAATGTGTTGCATGTGGAGCCTTCAGCCGAACAGTTCATGGTCGGTCACTTGCGGCGTTTGTTTTGGACGTTCATTCTGGATTTTGGTATCAACAACCGCAGACACTGGAGATTGTAAAGACGACACAGTAACAAGACGAGGACACTGACTAATGTGGAGCTGATCACGCCTCCTCCTGCTTTCGCCCCCAACGCTCATTATCCCCAACTTAAATTCACACGTGTTAACAATCCTCTGCAGCCCCGAGTCAAAACAACGACATCCTGAGAAAAATAGCACACACGCCTGAAGCGAGTGAGTCAAAACAACAGCGCTCATCCATCTCACATTTCTTCCTTGAAATGTTTCTGTTTTATTATTTCCCTCCAGGTCGTTTAAATGTTTAAGCTGCTTCTTGTTGTGGGACCACAACACTGAAATTATTCACCTCTTCAGTATGATAAGCTTTAAAAGCCTCTCGTCGTAATCCTTGACTTTGATTCAAGTTATTCAGGACTGTGTCACGATGCTGACGAGGAGCGTTGTTTGTTCCTTTGTCGGTTTATTTTCGGAGGTGTGCCGTTCGATGGCAGAGATCAGAGGAAGAGGTGAAGTGTGAAAGACAAACTGAGATGAGAAGAAGTCGAGGTTAGACAGTGAGCAGGTGTTTTTTAGATGAAGCCGCGAGAGGAAAGTGAAACTCCTCAAAGAAAGGAACTGACGGAACCAGGATTCGAACCAGGAACCGTCAAACCGCTGCACCAACGTCTCATGTCAATGTTTTCTCCTTTTTTTTTTAAAAGTTGCATTTGTTCCTGAGATAATACAGAGAAACCTACAACTAACGTCATGTTCAGACAGTTGCTGCTCGTGCACAAACATCCGGCAGATATTTTTTTAAGACAGTACATGCAGTGTATAATCATCACTTCTCACACAACCTCACACAGAGAAAGACATTTTTCAAGTGCAGT